CCTGTGGACTTGGAGACATACTTCAAGTCCCCGCGTACATAGTACGGGCTAGGCAAAAATGTGCCTCTATCTTGAAAACTGTCGCTTTAATGGCCCTTCGCTCATTTTCAACTTCTATTCAATTTTCATACTGCCGTACTCTAACGGAACTATCCACCTTCCCTCTTCTAAAGATCATTCTCTAGCTAATAAATCATCACACTAAAGCTTCATGTTAGCATTTCCAACCAACTCTGAAAATCGTTAACTTCGCGTATGAAGTAACATAAAAAAAAACACTTTGAATGTGGTAAAATTTGTCTCCAATGCAGTGCTGGAATCTCTTGATCCATCAATGAGAGCTGAACCGAGTGCGGATGTTCGTGTCCAATGGCATCTTGGTACCGATGAACTCGTTTTCCCCTTGGACTTTCCGAAGCTTGATATAGCTTTCCGTTCCGCAGTTGATATTCCTACCAAGCGGCAGTTACTACAATTCATGATGGGTATCTTTGATCCATTAAATGTACTTAGTCCAATCACAATCCATTTGAAGATATTGTTCCAAGATTTGTGGCGCCTGCAAGTTGATTGGGATGATAAAATACCTGATGGTCTGATTGCGAAATGGACTGAATGGCTTGAAGAAACTTCGAAGCTGACGGAGGTTCGAGTGCCAAGGTATTATTTTCCTGATGTTCCGTCATTTCACAGTGTTGAACTCCATGCCTTTTCGGACGCAAGTGACAAAGCCTTTGCTAGCGTGATATACATGGTGCACCGATATTTGGACAAAAAACATGTTGCTTTAGTTGTGGCCAAGTCACGAGTGGCACCTCTCAAATCGCAAACTGTTCCCAGGCTAGAGTTGCAAGGATGCGTTCTGTCTAGTCAGATGATGAAGGTGGTACAAGAAGAACTAGAAGTAGAAGTGTTATCAACTTTCTTCTGGACTGACTCCAAAATTTGTCTGGCTTGGCTATGAACGAAGGAAAAACTGAACGCTTACGTGGGATCCCGAGTAGGAAAAATCAAAGAAAATGGACACAACACTAGAGTGTGGAATTGGATACCATCGCATTTGAACGTTGCTGACCTCGCTACAAAGTCCTCTAAGTTCGCAAACATCGCTGAATGGCTGAGTGGTCCAGTGTTTTTGAAGCACAATCAAAATGAATGGCCAAACCAAGAATGTGTCACGATGTCATCAAACGAATCCGTGAACTATCATGTGGAAATCGAAGCTGAAGAAGAATTGGTCTGTCATCATGTTTGTGAAGAAGATGTTATGGATATGCCTGACAAAAGCAGATTTTCGGATTACAACCGTTTGATAAGATCAACAGCCTATTATCTGAAGATGAGAAAAATTCTTGGCATTCCAAAAAGGAACTAACCGAAGAAATTTTCGATGAACGTGCACGATATGGATGAAGCAAGAAACCTGTGGTATAAAATAGTACAGAAAGAAGCGTTCCATGATGAAATCAACAGCTTAAGGACGACTGGCATTGTGAAAAAGTCAAGTCGATTGTTAGCTTACTCACCCGTTCTGGTTAACGGAATTATAAGGATGAAAGGTCGCATTCAAGACGAAAGTAAACCGTTCGATGTGAACAATCCCGTAATACTACCGGACAACCATCCTTTCACCAACCTGCTGATCCAGACGTTCCACAATGCTAACGCTCATCAAGGATTAGAAACAGTTATCAACAACTTGAAACAACGGTACCGCATTTTGAAGATTCGTTCCCAAGTAAAGAAATTTGCACAAGCATGTGTGAGATGCAGAGAGCTACGTGCCAAACCAAGCGTGGCACAGATGGGTAATCTACCACCAGAGCGGACGACCCCCTTTGTTTTTCCTTTTACTTCTACAGGAATCGACTATTTTGGGCCATTGATGGTGAAGGTTGGACGACGTGTCGAGAAGCGATGGGTTGAACTCTTCACGTGCATGTCAAGTCGAGCGGTACACCTGGAAGTGGTTTCGTCACTGGATACGAGCAGCTGTATAATGGCCATTCGATGTTTTATGGCAATTCGTGGTGTTCCTCAGAAAATCCTGACTGACAACGGGACGAGTTTCACAGGAGCCAATCAAGAACTGAAGAAGATGATAAAGGACCTTAACCAGTAGCAGATAGACGAAACACTGAGTGTAAGAGGCGTGGAATGGTCGTTTATACCTCCAGGTGCGCCACACTTTGGAGGATGCTGGGAGCGTTTAGTGCGTTCAGTGAAGACAGGACTGCGCGCTATGCTGAAGGAGAGACACCCTACCGATTTGGATCTGAGAACAGCATTGTGTGAAGTAATGAACGTCGTCAACAATCGCCCTTTAACACATGTGTCGGATGATCCTCATGATCCTGAGCCGTTAACGCCTAATATGTTATTGCTTGGACGGAACAACCATATGCAGTACGATCACGATTTTGATGAGAGCAGTTTGATGACGAGGGCTGCCTACAAACATGCACAAATTTACGCTGATCGTTTCTGGCGTAAATGGGTGTCAGCTTATCGCCCAGAATTGAACCAACGACACAAATGGAAAGACAATCGAAACTATTACGAGTATGCAGTAGGTGATTTGGTGATGATCATCGATGAGAACCTGCATCGTGGATTTTGGCCCAAAGGTATTATCGAAAAGGCTTACAAGGGACCCGACGGCAAAATTAGGACTGTGAAGATACGCACTTCAAGATCAACCTACCTCAGACCGATTACGAAGATTATTCTACTAAAGGCCAGATCCGTCGCTAGCCCGGAGGATGTTGGAGATCAGTAAGCCATGAAGCGAGATCGGAGAAAATTTTCATGCCCCTAACAACCATTGTTAATTGAAGATCAATAAAAAATTTGTTACCCCGTTAATTTGACTGTGTGTTTGATTCCTCTACACAGTTTGATAAGAAACTGTGTCCAAGAGTTCAAGACCAAGCGTGTGAAGAAGATTCCGTTCCGTCTTCAGGTGAGCGAACTGTCGGCGTGAGTCCGAACCAGCCGCCTGAAACAGAACCTATTATCGACCTATGCTCCTATTTTGGGCCAAACGCTAAAACTCTGGATTGAAGCAACATGTCACTAATTTTCATTTACTAATCATAGGGCTTTTGATCTTATTCCTCTCCTACTTAATGCAACCCACACTTTACCTTTCTTTCTTGAACGTCTTTTAACAAAAAAGGAAATTTTTCTATCAAAGATGATTTCTAAATTTATTCCTTTTTCCATAAGTACCGTTGAATTTGATAAAGAGCCACACATTGTTGAGATATTGTTAAAAATCTAACACTGCTTCTAGATTCCAAACTCGTCCTACGAGTTTCAATTCTATCCAAACGCATTGTTTTGAGAACAATGAGTGTAAATATTCACACAATACGCTCTAATAGGCTTTGTGTTGTTGCTTGTGAACTAACGCATCGGTACAAACGTATTACTGATTAGTGCACGGTGAAATCATTGATTTTACTGATCGCGCAGAAACGATAGAAGGAAAATGGACGATTACGACAAAGCAGCGCTCTACCCTATTATGCAATTCACTATACTCCATTCCATCAGAAAAATCAGGCAGAAGTAGGTTTAAACTGAGTTTTAGGCCCAAAATAGACCGAGAATACGATCACTAACCCAATCTAATTTTTTAGGCGAAAAATATTCAAATATTGAATCAGCTTGTCTTCAACACAATTTGCCCAACAATAGATAAGAGAGGATAGGAGTAATTTGCACCCATACATCGCCACGAATTGGTTTGCTATTTGGAAGACAGTGCTTGTTTAATTAAATTATTCAATTTAGCTGCTAGGAATCAGGAGCACATTTTTCGCAATTTGATCCTCCCTAGCACACTCCACCAGATCGGAATATTCAGCCGACTATAATGCACATTGACTGCAAGCAAAACAGGACTACAACAGCTCCCAACACCACCATCGTCGTCTATCAACCTGGTATCATTGAACGCCCCAGCCCAGAACGGCACCATCCGAGCAAATTGCAGTCAATGGGAACGATTGTCTCTTATCAACTCATCGATATACCGAGAACCGTTCGCCAGCCAGCTTCTGAACCTTGTGTGTCTCTCTGTCTCTCTTTCCAACTATCTCTATTCCCATTAGGAGTGGAAGAACACAAACCATCTGCCGTTGTTGCCCGGGCTACCGGAGAGCTCAAAACTCCATTACGCAAACATACAATTGTGGTGTCCTCTGAATCCGTATGCATGTATCTATAGTCTGAGGAAACATTACCGGTGGGATGCCCGAGAAAGTGAACATTCATGCTGAGGACCTTCCGCCGATGGCCTTAAACATGCACACAAATTCCCATTGACAGCCGGCAATAAAATATCGGCTTATTCCTTAATGCATAATAAAATATGTTCCGCAGCAGCATACGTGTATGTTATGTGGTTCATAATGGGACGACGACGAGTTCCCAGAAGTACCGGTGGCCTTTCGCACCTTTCCAAGTCCAAGAGTTTTGCGGGAGAAAAGTGTGAATATGCTTCCAGGGCTGAATTATGCATCAGTTATCGATCAAAGCCGGGATTATCTTTCAGAATCGTGTGCTCGTCGAGAACTTCAATCAATGAGGTCTGTCGGTCTGAAATTATGCGGGGAAAAATGGCAATCAATTGCTTTTGCACGGATTCACCCCAGCCAGCAGCAGCAGCGCAAACTGATATGATACAGTCCGAGGCGAAGTGCACCGATTTCGGATGGCAATTCAGCAAGATAATATTCCCACGGGAGCTGATAATGGCGATTTATAAATAAATTATGTTTTCCAATGTTAAATAATTATCTTCGACTCTCTTGCGCTTGCTCTCGTCGGTGGGCAACCGAATTGCAATTTGTTTGCATCCGTGCAGCAGGTCAACCGTTACCGCCCGGCAACGCGATTATCATTTTCGAGTGCATCTGCGAGTCTGCTTGCCGATAGAGGTCAAACCGGGCAATCCTGGTGAGGATTATAAAAGCAGTCTGCTGGCCAGGGGAAAGGTATCAGACGTTGTTTCGACATGAAGGCGATCACACTGGTAGCGTTGGCGGGCCTTGTAGCTCTGGCTGCAGGTTACGTCGTAGTCCCGGAAGACAAAATCAAGTACGCAGACAAGGATTTCCTGGTGAAGCAGAAGCAACTGCTGGAGGTGTTCCAGCATGTCCACCAGCACGAAGTTCACACCGAGCTGTGGGAAGTGTCGAAGGAGTACAAGATCGAGGATAACTATGACCACTACACCAACCTTGAGGCCATCCAAGAGTTTGTGAAGTTCTACAAGCACGGAATGCTGCCGTTCGATGAGATCTTCAGCATCTTCCACTACACCCACCGCGAGCAGGCCATTGCTCTGTTCCACGTGTTCTACTACGCCAAGGACTGGGAAACCTTCTACAAGTCGGTCGTCTGGGCTCGCTTCCACGTGAACGAAGGCATGTTCGTGTATGCCGTCACCGTTGCCCTGCTGCATCGCAAGGATCTGGCCGGTCTTGAGCTGCCATCCCCTTACGAAATCTACCCGTACTACTTCTTCAACACTGAAGTCGTCCAGAAGGCCGCCCAATTCAAGATGCAAGGATTCTACGGTATGAAGAAGGTCGATGATGTCTACACCGCCGTCATCCCAACCAACTACACTGGCTGGTATGTGCACACCAACGTCGACCAGAAGGTGTCCTACTTCACCGAAGACATTGGCCTGAACACCTACTACTACTACTTCCACGCTGACTATCCATTCTGGATGGGCGGTAAGGAATTTGGCCTGTACAAGGATCGCCGTGGTGAGCTGTTCCTGTTCAAGCACCAACAGCTGCTCGCTCGCTACTACATGGAACGTCTGTCCAACGATATCGGAACCATCCCAGAGTTCTCCTGGTACAAACCCCTCCCCACTGGATACTACCCGAACATGCACTACTACAACGGAGTTTCTTTCCCATCCCGTGACAACAACCACTTCGTGTACACCCCGGAGAACTACTACGACATCGATGATCTGGTTGACTACGAGCACCGCATCCGCGAGGTCATCGATCAGGGATATCTGATTCTCCCAGACGGAAGCCATGTCGATCTGACCAAGCCCGAATCCATCGAATACCTCGGAAACGTCATCCAGGGCAATCCGGATAGTGTCAACACTCGTTACTACAAGTACGTCGGAGAAATCGCCCGCATCCTGTTGGGAGCTTCCGTCGAGCACTTCGATGACCACAAGGTTATCCCAAGCGTCCTGGAACACTACGAAACCTCGCTCCGCGATCCGATGTTCTACCAGCTGTACAAGCGCATCATCCACTGGTACTGGGAATTCAAGGGCCAGCTGCCACACTACACCTACGACGAGCTGAACTTCCCCGGAGTCAAGGTTGAATCCGTTGAAGTCGACAAACTGGTCACCTATTTCGATCGCTCCGATGCCGACATTACCAACGCCGTCGATGTTGAGGTCTTCGACGAAGCCACCATGAAGGGATCTGACATCAAGAAATTCGGCAAAATTGCTCACTACCAGGGAGAAGACTTCATCATCAAGGCCCGCCAGTGGCGTCTGAACCATATGCCGTTCACCTTCAAGCTGAACCTCCTGTCCGAGAAGGCTACCAAGGGTGTCGTCCGCGTCTACCTGGCACCAAAGTACGACCAGTTCGGACACGTCTACGGCGTCGATGAGAATCGTGAGAACTTCTACCTGCTGGATACCTTCCCGTACGACTTCGTCGTTGGCAAGAACGTCATCACCCGCGATTCCACCCAGTTCTCGATGTTCGTCCAGGACCGTACCCCGTACTACGAGCTGTACAAGTGGGTTATGGATGCCTACAACGGAGTGAAGAAGTTCCCTCTGGACATGACCGAAGCGCACTGTGGATTCCCGGCCCGTCTGATGCTGCCCAAGGGCAAGAAGGGAGGCATGCCATTCCAGCTGTTCTTCATCGTTTCGCCATACCACGCCCCGAGCACACCCCAATTCGAGGGATACGACTACACGTTGAACTGTGGCGTCGGATCCGGAGCTCGCTACGTTGACTCGCTGCCGTTCGGATATCCGTTCGACCGGCCGATCGACGAGAAGACCTGGTTCACCCCGAACATGTACTACTACGATGCTATGATCTTCCACAAGAACGAGAAGGAGATCAACGCCGTGCACTAAATGTGACGGGTTGGATTCGGTAGAAAAGGTAATTAGATTGTGTATGTAATTTGAGGATATGCGATTCATTGAATAAAACGGATTTTTGTTATTAACATTGAGAGTGGTGGATCGGTTTTTCGGTGGAATATCACATTTTTCAATTGTCTGTTGTCTGTAAGTGGTTTGCTTATTTAATTATAGGCGCAGAAATATTTATATATGCTGTACCAAGAACTTTATGGAACATTCAAAATATTCAGAAAAGTTTCAATGACTACAGCAAGTCCAGAACTTTGGGGAACTTAAAAGATCTTTAAGGGTACGATTTCAGAACGTCAGGGCAGTTCCATAAACTTAAAAAAAAATCTTGAAATTGATAAAGATAGGAGAACTTCATGACAGTTCCAATAGCTTTGAGATCACTTTAGGAACTTCAAGGTAGTTTTAAAGATTTTCAAAAAAGGTCAGACCGCTTCAGGAAAGTTCTGATAACTTTAGGACCGTTCCATGAAAATTTTCAGGTGATGAACTTCATGAGAATTGTGTGAATTTCTGGGTAGCTCTAAGTTCTAAGAAATTCAGGACAGTAATGAAAACTTTATGGTAGCTCCATATAGTTCAGAAAACTTTTAAGAGCCTTCCAAGAGGTTCAGGAATGTTCCGAAAACTTCAAAACGTCGGAGAAGTTTAAAGATATTTAAGTGTCAGTTCTGAAAGCATCAGGGCATTTCTATAGATTTCTGAATAATTTCAAGAACTTCAGTGTAGTTCATTAAGCTTCAGAGCAGCAGCATTAATTTCAGGAAAATGGTAGAAACTTCATACGAGGTTCAATAACTTCAGAGAAGTTTAAAAATCTTTAGGGAGGTTACGTGTACTTTGGGTAGTTTGAGAACTTCGGGGAAGTGTCATGAATATTTGGAAAATTGCGGGAACTTAAGGGTGGTTTCGAGAACTTCAAGTAATTAACAAAAATATTTAGGGCAGTTCAATTATTTTAAAGAAAATAGCGGGAATTTTCAAGAAGTTCCTAAAATTTTAGAGAAATACAGAGAACTTCAGAGAAGCTCAGTGAACGTCAGTAAACTTTCGACAACTTCAAGATTTCCATAAAATTCAGGAAAATGAGAAAACTTTAAAGAACTTCATGGAAGTGGTTACAGACTGAAAGCTTCAGAAAATATACACAATCTTATTTTAAAAATCTCATAAATTCAGGGATATCCAGAGACTTTCATAGAAGTTAAGAAAATATAAAAGAAGTCCAGAGAACTAGAGGAAAATTGTGGGAATATAAAAAAATAAGAACTTCAGGGAAGTTTAAAAAAGTACAGTTCCAAGAGTTTCGAGAAATTCAGGGAAGAAAAGAAAACTTTAGGACAGTCCTTTTAACGTCAGGAAAATTTTCTTCCAAGGATTGAAATAAAATTGGGAACATCAGGAAACTTCCGAGCTTGTCAGAAAAATTTTGGAAACTTCTTGGAAGTTGCTTAAGACAGAAAGCTTCAGAAAATATTCCCGATCTTTTATAAATCTGAGCAATTCAGTGATTTCCAAAGAACTTCAGAGAATTAGGAGGACAATTTAAAAAAATAAGAGCATCAGGGAAGTCTAGAGAATTTCAGAGATTCAGAGAGGTTGGGAAGTCCTTATGACCTCGATGATATTTCGAGGACTTTAGGTTAAAACATTCAGGGAGGCTTAGAGATCGATAAGGATAAGTTCCCAAAAATACATGGCAGTTCCATTACCTTTAAGAACATATAAAGAAAATCTAATAAATTTCATGGAAGTCCCGGAAACTCTAGAAAAATACCGTCAGGGCAAAACCATTAACCTCAGGAAAATTGTAGTAGTTACCAAAACTACAGGGAAGTTTGAATATCTTCAGGAATTATGAAATATCAGGTTACTTGTGGAAACATAAGGGAAGTTCTGAGAACTGCAAGTAAATTTAAAGAACTGGGAATTGTTGTTGTGGAAATAGTGGGATCTTTTAAGAATTTTTTGAAAAACTCGAGCAAACTTCAGGGAAGTTTAGGGGTGATACAAATATGTCGTCCATTCTTGAGGAGGGAGGTGGTTCTAAAATTTGTGACAGTATGTCTATAATACAGGGGAGGGAGGTAAAAACATCGAAAAACTCCAATACAATTTCAGAAACATCAAGAGTTACAATAAATTCAAGGAAATTTCCGGAACTTTAAAGATCTTCCGAGGAATGTAATTCAATTCCATCGAATTTCAGAAAAGACTCACGAAAAACCTGACGGAACTTCAGGGACCTTCCGAGATTGTCAGACAAATTTCAGAAACTTCATGAAAGTGCTTACAGACTGAAAGCTTCAGAAGAAGATATGCAAACTTTTAAAAAAATCTTAGGAATTCAGGGATATCCAGAGAACTGCAGAGCAGTGATGATAAAGTTCGCAAAAAATCACTATGACTCGCGAACTTTTGCCTTGGAGAACTTCGTGAAATATCGCGAACTTTTCCAACACTGCCGCAGAGAAGTCAAGAAAATTAAAAATAAGTCTTGGGAACTAGAAGAAAATTGTGAAAACATAAAAAAATAAGAGCTTCTGGAAAATCAAAAGAACTTCAGAGAGGCTCAGAAAGGGTTTGAGTAGTTTCAATAACTTCAGGGATGCTTCAAGAGTTTTAGGTTGAAACATTCAGGGAAGTTTGAAGATTGATAGTCGTAAGATGATTGTTTGGGAACTGCATTTGAATTTAAATGAAACGTTTTTCGGCTATGGCAGTCAAAAATAACAGCAAAAATGGTGCCGCTTCTGCATGCGACGGTTTCGGTTACATATTTAATCTTTCTCAAGGTGCCTCTAATCCTTGAGAATTGTTAAATATATGGCCGAAACCTGCGGATGTAGAAGCGACCCGTTTTTGCTGCTATTTAGCCCATCAAAGCCGAAAATCGTTAGTTCCCAAAAATGCAATTCCATGAACTTCAGGAAAATATCGGGAGCTTTTGCGAAGTTCAGACTTCCAAAATACAAAATACTTACACAAGAAGCTTCAAAAAGCAGTTTCTAAATGAAACCTTAAAAAAAGCTTCCAAGATAAATCTACAATAAATATCAAGCTCTTTGAGAAGATTTTTTATAGAAATCTTCGACTAGAATAAGCTTCCACAAAAGCTTTCAAAAGATGCCTACAAAAGAAGATTCCAAAATAACTCTCAAAAAAAAAAAAAAACTTCCAAAAGAAATCGTCAAAAGAAGCTTCCAAAAGAAGAATCCATAAAAAGCTTACAAAAGAAAGTTCCAAAATTAGCTTCCAAAAGAAACTTCCTAAAGATACTTGCTCTGGAGTAATCTTTTAGAATCTTCTTTTTGAAGCTTCTTATCAAGCTCTTTAAGAAATCTTCGTCTTGAATTAGCTTCCAAAAGAAGCTTTCAAAAGAAGCTTCAAAAAGAAGCTTCCAAAAGAAGCTTCAAAAAGAAGCTTCCAAAAGAAGCTTCCAAGAGAAGCTTCTATGATAATCTTTTTAAAAAGCTTGCTTTGAATACTTCTCTTAGAAACCTCTTTTAGAATCTTCTTATTAAGCTCGCAAGCTTCTTTTAGAAATCTTCGTCTAGAATTAGCTTCTTAAAGCAACTTCTAAAAGAAGCTTCCCAAATAAGTCTCCAAAAGAAGTTTCCAATAGAAGATTCTAAGAGAAGCTTTCAAAAGAAATCTCCGAAAAATGCTTCCAAAAGAAACTTCCAATAGAAACTTAAAACTGAAGCTGCCAAAAGTAGTCTCCAACAGAAGCTCCCAAAAGAATTCTTCAAAAGAAGCTTCCAAAAGAATATTCCAAAAGAAGCTTCTATAATAATCTTCTTAAACATCTTACTTTGAATACTTATTTTATAATTTTCTTACCAAGTTCTCAAGTTTCTTTTAGAAATATTCGTGAAGAATTAGCTCCCAAAAGAAACTTTTTACTTTTTTTCCAAAAGAAATTTGATACTTTTTTCTCCAAAATAAGCTTCCAAAGAAGTTTAAAAAAAGGATTACCAAAGAAACTTCCGAAAGAGGCTTCCAAAAAAGCTTCCAAAGGTAAGTTTTAAAAGGAGTCTCCAAAATAAGCTTTCAAAAGATGCTTTAAAAATAAGTATCAAATATATGCTTTCAAAAGATGCGTTCTATAGAATCTTCCAAAAGAAGCATCTTATAAAAGCTACCAAAAGAAGTCTATAAAATAAGCTTCCAAAAAAAGTATCTAAAATTAGCTTCCACAAGAAGTCTCCAAAAGAAATTTCTAATAAAAGCTTTTAAGAGAAGTTTCCAAAAAAAACTTCCAAAAGAAGTCTCCGAAGGAAGCTCACAAAATAAATAAATAAAAAAGCTTCCAAAAGAAGTCTCGAAAAGAAGCTTGCACAAGAAGCTTCCAAAAGAAGAATCCATAAATAGCTTTCAAAAGAAGCTTCCAAGAAAAGGTGCCAAAAGAAGCCTCCAAAATAAATTCACTCACTCACAAATGTATTTAACGCAAGACTGAGACTTCTTTTGGAACCTTCTTTTAGAATCTTCTTTTCAAGCTCTTTTATAAATCTTCGTCTTGAATTAACTTAAATAAGCATTCAAAAGAAGCTTCAAAAAGATGTCTCTAAAAGAAGTTTCCATTAAAAGCTTCTAAGAGTAGCTTCCAAAAGAAGTCTCCAAAGCTAGCTTCCAAAAGAAATTTCCAAAAGATGCTTCCAAAAGATGCTTCCAAAAGAAGCTTCCAAAAGATGGTTCCAAAAGAAGTCTCAGTCTTGCGTTAAATACATCTTTTAGAAATCTCTTTTAGAATCTTCTTATTAAGCTCTCAAGCTTCTTTTAGAAATCTTCGTCTAGAATTAGCTTCCGAAAGAAACTTCTAAAAGGAGTTTCCAAAATAGGCTTCCAAAATATGTTTCCAAAAGAAGTTTCCAATAGAAGATTCTAAGAGAAGCTTTCAAAAGAAATCTCCGAAAAATGCTTCCAAAAGAAACTTCTAACAGAAGCTTAAAACTGAAACTGCCAAAAGTAGTCTCCAACAAAAGCTTCCAAAAGAATTCT